AAAAAAAAAAAAAAAAGAAAGAAGAAAAAAGAAAAAACAGAATAAAGCGAAACAAAATAATTGCAACTCTTGTTGCCTGGCCCGCGCGTGCAACCAATTAACACACAACTGAGAGAGGCTGCCTAAAATTCACCTGCGCACATTATGTCGGCGCGCGGTGCATACGTGTATTCATCAGCCTGTCCACTTTGTTGCGCACCCTGCCCCTATTTGGAATATTGTTTTGCACGCATGCCTTTAAGCGGTATATTTGGCGTGCAGGGCGACGCGTACATAGGGGCACAAAAAGCTTCACTTTTAACACCCGTCCAACCCATTCGCAATCTTAACATTTGCCCCCATAAAAAAAAAACATGAAGCACACTTTTGTGCGGAGCGTCATCATGACAAAAGTGGTTAAAAAAAAAGGAAAAAGCGCGAGGGTAGACTGGGACAAAAAGCGGAATAAATGACGTATGCAAGTACTTAACAGCCATTGGTAAAGAATAACAGCGAGGAGCGAAGTGCCTGTGGAACGCCCAGGGAGGTGGTAATTAGCTAAGTCAAAATAATTTTTCTCGTTTATTGGAATGGAATTCCACGGAATGAGTAAGTGATATGTGTGCTGTTATGCGTTGTCATGCAAACAGAAGGCATGAAACCAAAAAGAAAAAAAACAAAAAGAATTTAGGAACTAATATTTATAAAACATGGGATTTAAAATACGTTAACACACCATTTTGAAAAGGGGGCGAAAAAAAAAACAAAATAGGAGGTTTCGACCGCGAGTGTGAAAACAAAAGTGCTCATATGAGCAAAAAGTTGAAGAGATATACAAAAACAAAAAAAAAAAAAAAAAAAAAAAAAAAAAAAAAAAAAAAAGTAAATCCTCAACTTCCCTCGAATCAATAGAAGAAAAATTCTTTATTATATCAAATTTGTGTACTTACAGAGCAAGTATTTTTTTTTTTTTTTTTTTTTTTTTTTCATAGGAACAAAAGTTCAAGGGTGCACACATAACAGAATCGAATTAGGTTTTCCATTAAGGCGTGTGACGCTTGGCGCGTAGACGCCGTTTGGAACAACTATCCATCAGTAGGCATAGTTCAGGTGTTGTTCAATATTTTCTCCTTGTGGGTTTATTTTGGAATCCATCATTCCAAGTTTTTGCTGCAAATCGGATAGAATACTAATTTTGACTTGCTCTGGCAATTCCTCTACCCACGCCGGAAGGCATGCTCCTTTCAGTTGAGCCCGTAGCGATGCTAGCGATGGTGTTGGCGGTACTTGTGGTGAGTTTAACAGGTTCGACATATTTGGTAGCTGCTCTTCCGCTTTGGTTTCCAGCGACGGCTGTTGTCCAGACGGCTGGTTTACTTTTTCCTTATGTTTCTCTGCCTGCTCCTTGGCTATAATACTTGCGCACAGGACGATCACCTGGTCGGCCGCGCGCTGCATTTCATTCTTCACCTTATGCATGTGGTCAAGCAGATTTTGCTTTTCTTCCACTTTGATTTTATATTTATGTTGCAGCTCCATGAGGAGTCCTTTTTTTTCTTCCTCGTGGACCATTTTATTTTGTGGGTACAGAAAAAACAGGTGTCTGTACTCTTCATTCGGGTCAGCATGAACGTTCCTGTTCTGTTCCACATTTTCAATTTGTTTTTGGATTTCATTAATTTCTTCTTCGAGCTGTCTCATTTCAGTAGCTTTTTGCTCATGTTCGTTTTTTTTATCCTTATGCTTATTTTTCGCATCATTGAGTTCGCTATTCAATTGTGATACATCTTTCCACGCGTTGAGATTTATTAACTGCGTGTTTGCTTCCGCTCTATTGACGACCTCATCCTTTAGAATTGATTGGACTATCTGTTCGTTGAGTGTCAGCTGTGTATTTTCGCTACCGTTCTGCGTTGTGTCTATTGGTTTCAAATTAACATGATTCGACCATTCGTCGAATACATTTTTGTCCATTCCATTTTTCAGAAATTCTTTTAGTTCATTTGGTATATCTGTTGTTACAGGTTTGTTTACATCTTTTGGTAGCTCTGCCTTTATCATTTTTTCCCCTCTTGTACGCATGTTTCTGTTGGGTCCTTCGTAGGTATTCAACTTGTCATCCTCGTCGTCATCGTCGAAGAGGTGGTAATCGTCCTCGTAGTCATCATCTTCTAAATCATATTCTGAATCATCATCTGAGAACTCATCCTCATCATATTCTTCTTCTAACTCATTATTCATTTGACTATCAAATACGTTTATTTTTTTGTATAGGGAGTCACCTTTTAGGCGGAGGTTTGCTCCTTGTTCGTCGTCCAATAGGCCATACAATACAGGTCCTCTGTTTGCATTTTTTCTACTCATATACTGTGACCTGTCCTTTTCGTTGCTTATAATGGGGCTTATACGCATGTCCATGCTGCTATTTAAATGCTGGGTACCATACTTGTTTCCATACCTGTTTCCATCGAAGTAGTATCCCATGTTGGTCATGTCTTTGTCCTTTTTCATGAATGACATGTACAGTTTCATTAACTCGTTGTATATTTTCTCGATG